GCCAGCCACGGCGCCAACCCCTGGGCCAAGGTCGCCGGCTCCAAGTTCACCCGGGACTTCATCCTCATCTCCGAGTTCTCGGAGCAAGTGGGGCCTCAGCCCCTGCTGACCATCCCCGATGATGCTAAAGTGTCGGGCACTTTCGATCTCAATTATTTTTCCCTTCGGATCATGTCTGTGGATTACCAGGCTTCCTTCGTGGGGCACCCTCCCGGCTCTGCCTACCCGAAGCTGAACTTCGTGGAGGATTCCAAGGTGGTGCTGGGGGACTCGAAGGAAGGGGCCTTCGCCTACGTCCACCACTTGACTCTGTACGACCTCGAAGCCAGGGGTTTCGTGAGGCCCTTCTGCATGGCTTACATTTCTGCCGACGAGCACAAAATCATGCAGCAGTTCCAGGAACTCTCCGCTGAGTTCTCCAAAGCCTCCGAATGCCTCAAGACGGGGAACAGGAAAGCTTTTGCTAATGAACTGGAAAAGAAACTGAAAGATCTCGACTACACCAGGACTGTCCTGCACAACGAAACCGAGATACAGAAGAAAGCCAACGACAAAGGGTATTACACCACGCAAGCCATCGAGAAGGCCAACGAGCTGGCCAGCGTGGAGAAGTCTATCATCGAGCACCAAGATCTGCTGAAGCAGATCAGGTCGTATCCCTACAGGAAGCTGAAGGAATCCGACTTCCACCCCTACGAGCCGGAGGGTGCGCTGGATCAGGCCGAGGCGGGCTGCGATCAGGACCTGCCTCCCTCCGACCTGGCTGAGCCCGGCGAAACGCGCCTTTACGCCCACGCGCCCTCCTACACCCCCAAGCTCATCAAGGCCAAGTCTGCCAAGTGCTTCGACAAGAAGCTGAAGACGCTGGAGGAACTCTGCGATATTTATTTTTTCACCCAAACCCTTGACCAGTTGCATCAGATCGAGAGGACTTTCAGGGGTGACGTGTGCTACCTCCTGACCGAGCAGATCAGCAGGGCGCTCCTGAAGCAGCAGAGCGTCACGAACTTCCTCTTCGAGGATGTGTCTTTTCTGGATGAAAAGCCACCCGAAAACCAGTACGGTGGCTGCCAGGGGCTCAGCCAAGATGCCATCGATAGAAAGTGTTTGGAGGAGTCCCCCGCTCCTAAAGTGGTCATCAGCCTGGGATCCTACAAGTCCAGCGTGGAGTGTGTGCCCATCAAGATGGAGCAGGAAATCGAGGACACCCAAGACCCCAAAACAGCCGAGTCCGTCCCCTTCGAGCACCAGGACAACCTGGACTATCTCGATGCGGATCTTAAAGGCAGCATCAGCAGCGGGGAGAGCATCGAGGTGCTTGGAACGGAGAAGTCGGCCTCCGGCTTGCCCAAATCGGAGAGCCAGGCCAGCCTGCCCGTCAGCCCCAGCCCCCAGGCGGGCAGGAGCAAGGTGGGCAGCCGGAGGACCGTCAGCGAGGACAGCATCGAGGTTCTCAGCACGTGTCCCTCCGAGGCGCTCATCCCGGAGGATTTCAAAGCGAGCTACCCAAGTGCCATTAACGAGGAGCCGTACGCCGACGATGAAGAGGGAGGCCTTCGTTTCACCCCCAAACTAAACCCCGACGAGCAGGAAGACGTTTCAAAGCAGGAGAACTTAGTGCAGGTTGATTCCACCTGTTGTATCGGGAAGGAGAGTCCCAGCTTCCTCGAGCCTCTGCCAGACCTGGGGCAGAAGCCCTGCGACGAGGACGGGGTGGTCAGGATCCCCCCGCAGCCATCCCGGCAGGCTGAGCAGGGGCTACGCGGGGGGTTCCCCTCCCCCGACGGCATTTCGGGGGGGCTCCTTCCCTACGAGCTTGATTCTCGCTACCTGACGGGCAGCAGGGAGGTCAGTAAGAGCAGCCTGGACGAGTGCTCGGACTCCACGAGCTACATCAGCAGCGCCGCCTCCACGGGCTCCGACAGGACCCCTTCCCCCGCTCACCCCGCCTGCCAGGCGAGCGAAAGGCACAAAAAAAAGGCCGGCCAGAGCGCGCTGCGGTTCATCAGGCAGTATCCCTTCGCTCACCCCGCCATCTACTCCCTGCTCAGCGGGAGGACCCTGGTCGTGCTGGGGGAAGAGGAGGCGATCGTCAAGAAGCTCGTGACGGCGCTCTCCATCTTCGTGCCGAGCTGCGGCGTGGACGCCAAGCCCGTGAAGCACTGGGTCACCTCCCCTCTGCACCTCGTGGATTTCCAGAAGTGGAAGCTGATCGGGCTGCAGAGGTAAATCCGAGGGGCTGTTTGCTTTGTGGGTGTTGAGGGGTACGAGGAAAAACTTCCAGATTTTTCTTTCAGAGGGCGACGGGGGCGCAGGGGAGGTCTCTGTCTGATCGCTCGCGCAGCTGCCGTGAATTTCTGCTTGTGGAAGGGGGGGGTGGATTTGGCTTTATCTCCAGCCTGACTTGAGACTTAATATTTAAAACATCTGCTGGGCACTGGTTTGTACTGGTGGTTTGGCCAGGAGGTTTCCTTCTGGTTTGGGTCTTCACCTGGCAAAGCGTGAGACAGAGACACGAGTCCTGCTGGTTTCCTGGGTGGTCTGATAACCGGCTGCTCCTGGAGTCGCCTTGTGGGCTCTGCATCCCCCTCGTCCTCCCCCAAACCCCTTCTGGCGTTCCGAGCTGGCATTTTGGTTTTGAAACAGCTGCTTGGAGACGGGGAGGGTCTTTCCTTGTGGACCCTCATGAAGAGCTGACGCGCCGTCGATGAGCTTGGGGGGGTCAGCCATGGGAACATTCTTGGGCCGCGGTGGCCAGGGTGTGCTGGCGGGGTGCTGTGGGGAAGGGGGGGGGCGTGGAGCCCGCGGAGCCGCTGGGCTCTTCGAGGGGGTGCAGATGGGCAGGGACTTATTTATAACCAGCCTTAGCGCAGGGAAAAAAAAAAAAGGTGCGCGGAGCCGTGTGGGCCGCGGCGTTGGAATTGCAGCTCGGATGCCAAGGAAACTTCTGCTGAGGGTGAGGATGATCCCAGGAGCAAACACCCCTTCCCCCA